GTTGTACTAACTCCTGCTGCGGAAGTTAGCTTATGGCTTATAGCACTAAAATAAAACTACTTTCCTAGCAACTTTTTATCTTATCAAAAAGAGCAAAATATATTAACAATTCATTGGTTAAGAAATTATACTTTTACAAATCAGACTCATGTGATTTTTTATTGGAAATGCAATAATTACTTTCTTTATTTAAAGGTGCACTATGTAACTTTTTTGCTTGAGGGTCCTTCACCTGCTTGTTTCTATGGATATGTCATTGCTCTGCCTGGAATGTTCCACAGTCAACTTTACCGTACATTTATTCAATTACAGGTGGTTTTAAAGTTCAAAAAAGTATTCTGATGTAAATGGGGTTTCCTCTCCACAGATCTGACCTGTAACTGGTTTGGTTTGGTCTCCATGATGATAGAAAGGTTTAATACCGTACTTTGAACTAGTCCAGACAATGTATTAACATATCCATGAAGACAAGTGTTTGACAGACCATGAAAAGTCAAAACCATTTTGATCCAATCTAATCTGTACAAATTCAGAATCTCAGCTTGTATTTCTTCATTTCAAAGCATATTTTTCAATTTAAGATATATTTATTTGTGATATGTGGAGATTAGCATGTACACTTCCATTAGAATAATATAGGTGCAGAGAGAGCATCAATGGTGTACATGCTTATTAGCCTGATTCATCAGACAGTTTCACTTCGTGGAAACTGTCTGTCCTCTCAGCATTAGGATTTGTTCACTCGACAGTTGGTGGGTACATTTTTTATTTAACCAATCACTGCTATTTGGTCATGACGTATGTAACGCGCCAAATCCCATAGGAAGAAGGACAATAACGTCTTTTCTCTTGATAAAATTCACCAAACATTCTTTTTGTTCCGGCTTTGTTTACTGTTGTGCTGCACCACAAAAGGGACCCAGACAGGCGCTTGAGTTTGACTTCATGGCTTCACAGCTCTTCACAGATTGGCCAGTGCGCGGTCTACAACTTCTGGCAAACCGTCTAGTGTATTCCGATTCTTGACCTAGTCGCTGGAGAGAAGTGAAATTGAGCAGAGGCACTAGATGGTGCTAGGGCTGGGTTAAATTATTTCAGTGATCCATATACAATAATACAAATTTAAATGTTTACCTTACAGAACTACCTTTGTGAATTGCATATTTGTCTGTATATCAATTTATCATCCTCTTGTAACAAGGTTGTGTAATTTATTCAAACAACTGGGTGTAAAAAGTCACACATTGTTGATAAAAAGAAATTTCAAAGAAACACAACAACCAGTAATATAATCAAACACTTCATTTTAAGAGACACGAAAATGTCTAAAAGCAGTTTTTCAAGGACTCCAATTCAGAGCTACGCAGTTTGTGAAAATGTTTAAAATGACAAAAGACAATGAAATGATAGAGCCAATTATAAAGCACGCTTTTATCACAGATTTCTACTTTTTAAACTGAAAACGCAAAATAAACATCATTATTGCTGAAAGAGTTATAAAAAAAGAAGAAAAGGCAACAAAAAGAGTAACAATTTTGACTTTGTTATGAAATGAAAGTCAAGCACAGGCCGTAAATAATAAGAGGAATATAAAATGTTCTCTTTAAAACTGGATTACAAAGACATTGCATTTGACACTTGCAGCTCAGTGGTATCCCCCTTCACGACATGGTTCCTAGTTAGATTTAATGGACAGTATGATGATGTAATTGCATATACACAGAGGTCGATCACCCGTAGGTCTAGAGGCAGTGGACCTGAGACGTGAGTGGACAAAGCAGTTCTTGTGCCCCTGTGTTTAGACTGTAAGCAGACGACTGGTGAGGAGCCGTCACTCACCCGTGCCCCAAGTCAAAGTCATTCATATGGTTTCAAGTACAACTGAACTGAAAACATAAGAGTACAACAGCTTCATTTAAAGGCTCACTATGTAACTTTTCTGGTGGATGGTCTGCCCTGCTTGTCTCCGTGAAGATGTTTTGCAAGGAATGTTCCACAGTATGGCATTAAACTTATCTTATCTGTCTGAACTTATCTTGCATTTACGAAATGACCGATGTTTTTATTGCAAAAGAATGCCTTTCAGAGTGATAGATAGGTTTAATGACATGCTGTGGAACATTCTGGGGATCCTTCAGAAAAGATAGTGCACCTTATAATGGAAAACTGTCTGTAAGAAATACATGGAGCAGCTATAATAAAATAATTTACATTGTAGTTAATATCTAGTTTTATTTATCAGCCAGTTTCACTTTGTGGAAACCGTCTGACCTCGCAGCATTAGGATTTGATGACTGATGAACTTGATTGACTCTAGGCAGGTACTTTTTTTATTTAACCAATCGCTGCTATTTGGTTGTGATGTATGTAATGCGCCGCTAACGGGGCTAACTGGTATATTAAGCTTTTCCCAAATCCTGTAAGAAGAAGGGCAATAACGTCTTTCCCCTTGATAAAATTCACCAAACATTCTCTTTGTTCTGGCTTTAAATCCTCGATCTCGGGAATCGTTGCCAACACAGAATGTATGGGTCCGTCTACATCCATCTTGACTGCTTACTGTTGTGCTATACCACAAAAGGGACTCAGACATGGATACAGAGCTCTTTGCTGATTGGCTGGTGCGCGCTCTACAACTTTCGTGCTTCTTGCAAACTGTCTAGTGTATTTTGATTCCTGACCTGGTCGCTGGAGAGAAATGAAATTGAGCAGAGGCACTAGGTGGCGCCAGTCTGGCTAGTTAGTATCAGGCAGTAGGTGCAACATTTTTTAACTAACTGAAATTACATATTTACAAATTTTTGTTATTATTTGATTGCATTTATAATTGTTATTCTATATAGTGATTTAGTGATATAGTGATTTTTGGTAGTAGATTTAGATACCTATGTTTCTACATCAAGAATACATCACCTTCAAACACTATTTTAATGATGAAATGACCACCAAAGCTCAATGTTGTGTAATATCACGTTGATTAATATTGACTTGTGACATATGTTTTATAAGTCTTTACGTCCCACAGGCCTCTTAGAACATGTCAAACTCATGTTGCAACTGTAGCCAGGGGTATTACCATATCACCAATTATCTTTTACATAGTTATAAGGTTGCACGCCTGGAATGCATCAGATGTGTGGTCCTGGCTGTACTTATACACGTGATTGCAGGTCTAATCATCTTGTTAACCATGAAGAAAAGTGTTGTTTTGCCTCTCTCTCTCTTTCCTCTCCTCTCTTCTATCCTCACTCCATCTCTGGCATCTGTCATGAGACTTAGCAGCTGTTGGTGCTCTGAGAAAATAAAATTCCACATGCAACAACAAGAAGAGTTTCACATCTCCATATTTACAATACAGCTGCTCACTGGAGGAGCGTAACAAAGGATAGCCGTGCAATTTCACGCTCAAACATAACGCTTTTCACTCTAGCTAAATCAAAGTGTGGTGCAGGGGCCTGTTTGCTACTGTTAAAGGGCCCATATTACGCTTTTTCTGATCTATGTTATAATGTTGCTGGCTCATCATAAACATACCCGTGAGCTTTTTGAGCTTTGTGGATATAGATAGACCAATAATAAAGGATTATGCAAACATGTATGAATGTAACAACCCACAACTCCTGGTATGTGTTTGAGGAGGTAACAACATTATAACATGGCTTAAACCTCACACGAATACATGTTGTGTAATACAGGACTTTTAACATTTGACATTTAGACTAATATATCTGCCATATTTCATAATTTACTCCACTTTACAGTGCTTGATTCTCTTTGTATTTTGTGACAGATTTATGCCGTATGCAAGCACCCCCTGCAAAACATTTTTCCCATGCGCCTTTTTGTTTTTCATACAATTGTGTGGAGAATGTGCTTTGTTCACTGTTTCTATTGAAGCCGAGCTGCGTACAAGAGACGTATGGGTGGAAGGCAATGTCAGCACAAGATAAGTTTGAAATACTGTTTAGAAATAAATTGTTTCACAGTAGTAGGCTAAAAGTGGAGCAGATCCCGCCTATGGTAAATATACAAAAAATGTGCTGTGTTGGAAAGTAACAAATACATCTAACCTAAATTATTCAGTATAGTTACTTTTTTAATTTGGTTACTTTCTTAAATCAAAGATAAAAGAAAACTGGTAAACAGCTCTACAATACATCGCTGTGTGATTTTTCTTTCTCTAATCAGTGACAAATAAATGTATAAATGCATTGTGTTTTTAAACTATAATATAAGTAAGTATATAAGTATTCAGAATACTCTGATTGGACCATGTAAAGCAGGGGTGTCAAACTCAAATTCACAGAGGGACAAAATTAAAAACTGGAGCTAAGTCGTGGGCCAAACTAAATTTTTATTGAAAAATTTCAACAACATCTGCGTATTTTCTCTTTGAGATATGTAATGTTAAACCTTTCCTTATTTAAATAAATGTTTAATAATACTTTTGCTTAAACACTGAATCCAGAACAAGCAGAATATAAAATAATAACAACATTTTAAATAAATAATGTCTCTATAGCCTATCTTTAGCCAGCGGGCCAGCTCTAATACATATTTGATATGATCTCTTGGACCAAATATAATTAAATCGTGGGCCAAATTTGGCCCCTGGGACTGAGTTTGACATGTCTGATGTAAGGGAATGTGTAACAAAATAACTAGGCTACATTTGGACGCTGGCCATTCAGTATTCAAAAAATTTTCAAAGTATTCTTCTCAAGCATTCTCAAATACAAATACTGCTGATATTATTTACTAATATGTGTACTATAACTAAAATGTATTTTTGTTGTCCTTTCAAATATAATATCTTGTGACACCCAGTGCTTGTCTCGTTGTAAAAGTAGCACGGTCTTATATTTTCCATCCAGTTTTGTGCCGATAGAGGGCAATGATCGGGATGCACGTCCTCTGAGCGCCTGTGACATGTGCATGTGTTTGCTGCGGTCATGTTTTTGGGAGGAGGGGGAGGAGGAGTGTGAGAGCTCAGACTGAGGCGGGGGAAGCGCAGAGTTTGGCCGCTGGGCAGCAACTTTCACAGCCTCTTTCTCTTGTTATTCCACATAGAAACAGGCTTGAATGCGTCGCTGCTTTGAAATTAACGACTTCTATTTGCGCTGTTACAGTGTTCTGAGGAGTGATTAGACTTTTTCGCCCGCTCACGAGACCTGCCCCCCTTCCCCGTTTTGGTTTGAACCCGGGAAAGGCTGCCTGCTGCTGCTGCTTGACGCGGAGAGAAGGGGCGAAGAAGTTTGCTGGAAAAAGTGGGGGACCTGTTGCCTCTCTATGCTTGCGCTTTAAAATTGGTTTAACATTTAAGACTCAATGTTTTGCGCATGACTTCTTGTTTGGATACCGTAAATATGTCGGGACAAACTTTACGCACTGAGCTTCAACCGGTCCCGTGCACTCTTATTGGAAATCTACACCGGCGTGACAGGGGGATTTTTGCGTAGAGAGCAACGCTGGCTCCGACCTCCCGACTCACTACTTTTTAAAACAAGGATTTAACGCGCACGTGATAGTAGGTTAAAGTTGTTTACTGGACCACGATGGAGGGTGAGCAAGGGACCACAACTTCTACCGAGAAAGCCCAAAATGATGGCACTTCTGCGGCTGCGTCCGACAGCTTTTCCCAGCTCTGGACGGACGTTATGGGGATGCTGGTGAGTGGCGTGTTGTCATTTGGGGGATGGGGGACACTTTAGACCTGCAAAAACAGCCAAAATTTGCACTTCATTGTTGCTGGAGTGATATTATCCACAGACATGTAGCAAGTACGTGTGAACTACGCATCAAAACAACGCTGTTCCAACCAAAGGGCCCAGCTACTGGTAGCCAATAGGTTATTGTGTTGTGGCCTTGCAAAACTTGTATGCTGTTTGATTGCACTCGTTACTGATCGATAACAAAGTTTGTGAAGGTTTTCTGCACGTCAACACCATTGTCTGACTGTGCCCACGATAGGAGCATTGTGTTAAATGGCTCGACTTCTTTGTGCTGTGCGTTGGATGTGCGTAAAGTGTAATTCGTAGCGTACCTTCTCCAGCCTGCTCAAATACAAACTCTTTGTAGTAGGCTATAGTCGTAAATTAACTTGGCAATAACGATGCTTTAACTCAAGAGTAAGGCTATCTCTGCTACTGTGACTATCAGTTTTCTATTACAAAGTTGTATTGTAACTTCATGTAGAAACATGCGCAACATTAGTGTGTCATGTCTAAAAAAAAAAAAAAAGTGCTATTTGCTTCTCTAATTCAGATCTGAGCACCACTGATCTATTTCTTACTGTGCCATAATCCTATAATCTTAAATTTTGGTTTAGTTAGATCTGAATTAGTCCTTCCTCAGTCTTGTTTTGTTGTAGTTTAAAACTGGTTTAATCATAGCTTGATTATTATTTTTGATTTGTGCAATGATCTATCCAACTTTTCGATGTGTTAAGATTGCAGAATAATCCAACTTCTGTTTTTTGTTAAAGGTTTAGGAGAAATTATTTAGGTACTTTCTGAGGTGAAAAGGCCTGTTACTTGCACTTTTAAGTACACATTCAGTTCTCAAATCTGTTAGTAAGAACATAATTACTATGAAAAGTTATACATAATTTTAATAATAGGCCCGGCACGATAACAAATGTTGAGGTTCAATATATTGCTGAAATAAGTATAGACAATAAACGATAATGTTGAAACTAATGTATACCACTGACGCAATCATCTAAGAACAGATTTAAACCACAAAAAATATTCTATATGGGTTTTTTTTTGACAATATTGTACATTCACTGCAATAAATAAAAAGTAGAATAAAACACTTTTATACTTGAGTGGCATCTGTAAAGAGACATAGAACTTATGTATTCAACTTTTTACATCTTAAATCTTATTACATAGCCAAAAAAATATATATATCACAAATTTCAAGAAAAAGTACATACTGACCTTCAAAAAATATTGTTCCATCTTTCATATATAGAGTGATAAGTCAGTATAGTAATTATCCTGACAGGTATACATAATAATATGCATTGTAAAAGTATTGGTTTGTACTTTACTTGTTTTCACGTTACCATTTGGCTCAGTTCACTGCTCTTTTGTTTGCAGAGGGATACTGTTGCAGCCCATTGATCTGGACAGTTGTGATTGTATTGCCACTTCCAGCGTTTAGAGACTGAGGTGTTAATTTAGTTTGGTCTAGCGCTGGAGATGTGAATGGTATGTAGTTGTCAGCCTGGGTTAGTGCAGTGTAGAGCCATCGCTGTCCACCGATTGGTCAGCCAGATTTTTGTGCTTCCTTTTCAAACATACATAAACTATTTTTAAATACACAATCAGTTGACTTTATTACAGGCTTTTATGTGTAAATTACACAATGAAATCTTGTTCTTGCTACCAATTAAAACTATAAATAGTGCACTGTCCCTTTAAAATATGTTAGTAATATCCGTCCACTTTGTAGTATGGAACAGTACATTAAAGTAGCTGCCCATAGAGCTAATAAACACAGCACCACGCTCTCATTAGTCTTTTCCTATGAAACGCCCACAAGTTTTAAAACGTTTTAAACATCACAGTAAAACACAAGACGCTTTGAGGAGAATTCCAATAACGTTGACTGTAACCGCACATTATAGCTTGTAGTACCAGGAATATAAATGTAATGTAAAAAGTGCTTATTATCACCTCAAAATGATAAGTGCTTATAGGCTACTACTTCAGCTAGTTACACAGTGCACTTACGATGACTGTGCTCTGTTAAACTTTCTGGAGAAGAACCAGTTATAGATTAGATCTGAGGAGTGGCGACCTCTTTCACAGTAACAATTCATGTTTTCCAAGGTATTTTTAGCAATATAAACTCCTGCAATTGAATAAACATAAGATGGATAAGTTTAGTGCCATAGCGTGGAACATAATAGGCAAAACAGTATCGTTTCCATGGCGACGAACAATGGCGGACCCCCCTACATACCTGTAAAGTTGCATAATGCACCTTTAACTGACAAGTATTTATCAAGTTGCTATTTTAGCCTTGAATTTTTCCATCCTCCTCGGGCTGTATTTTGGCAGCTACTTGTTTAAGATAATCATCAATCTTGATAAGAAGTTGTAATCGTACGTGAAACATTTTTGACTTCATCTGCCAAACCAAACGCTCTCATACGCACCTTCAAAATATAGGTCCTTCATGTTTTGACTGTAAATCTCATAGGAATCCAGTCTGACCCTTTGTTCCCTTGCCTTGCTTATGAGTTCACACCTCAAAAGGTTAACCATACACTGCAACCTGTCGTGGTATGTGCTAATAAGAATGCCTGCACGAGTCAGTCATTTATTTGAGGTTAGAGTTGTGTAAATAGCTCTTGGGCTAATTAAGAGTTTAAAGGCAGTCGGGACGTTACTCACTGTGAAATGTGGTTGGGTTTAATGACGCCTCAGAACAGATTTGGTTGCACTTTTTAAGCTAAAGCTATTTTTCCCAGCGCGGGTTTTAGTTATTAAACATGCACTACACAAGGCTATGCTTAAATATGGAAATGTTAATTAAGAGGACCAGATTACGCTGTTTTCTGTTTTTCTGTGTTATAATGTTGTTTCCTCATCACAAACAGACGTGGAGTTGTTTTTTGTCTCATTCGCACATGATTAACATGCAAATCCTGCATGTTTAGGCTGAGTTCTTGCTATCAAATGGAAAACACTCAGATCCACTTTGTGACGTCATCTGTTCAGTGTTTCCCGCAGCGCTTTATAGTTAGGGCAGCCACCTTGACAACAACTGCCCCCCGCTTTGACTATGTCCCTGTAAACCACGTGAATCCTCACAAAACTAGGGTTGTCACGACCTGTCCCCACTTTCGCCGGCACAGAATCTACCCCCACCACCACCTTGATGAACCACTTTTCTGTGGGAAACACTGCTGTAAATACAGGAAGTGTTCTACTTTGTTTTTAAACTTCGTACACCTTCACTAGAATCATTAGTGTATTTTCAGCCCAACTTTCCATCTCTACTAAAGGTAAAAAGTAGCTGTTAACTTGAAATCTACCACTTCATGACATCACAAGGGGAAACAGAGTACTTTGAACTTTGGAGATGTAGCCAGATTGATTAATTACTCAAAAATGTGTTTGTGTGTGAAACGAAACACAACAGCAGGTATGATTTTTGAGGTGGTAACAGCATTATAACATGGCTTAAAGCTCACAAGAGTCAATATTTTGAAATATACTTTGAAATTTGTTGACTTTTGAAGTGAATAAAATAGAATGATTACAGCTCCCACAGGCAACAGCTATGATGCATTGTGTATTCTTTTTGACAGCTTTTCAAATATGACAAAACCTATTACCCTGATCATATCTCCTCTGCCTAAAACATGGTCAACTAACAAAATGAATTACTCAAAAGCATAGTACTTTGAATCAGAATGTATATGTTTTGCCGCTTTAAATTATTCCAGGCATTTGAACGGTTATTTTAGGAGTCTGGGCTGGCCTGAAAAGTTTGGGAAGCCCTGATCTAATGTTCCAAAACAAACCCTAAATCTTCCAGGTTTTCTTCCAGGTTTTCCAAGTCTCTTCTCGAGCCAGTAGGCCGTGTGGTCTGCCTAGTCTCTCTTTTTCATAGTTCTGACGTAAGTTATGAAAAAAATGTGATGTTCTAGACGGTGGTAGTTCATCCTTTGAGCTAAGAATACAATAACAAGATACGATTATTGATTCAGTCTAGGAACCATATGCTACCTCCTACACAACACTTCAGCTCCATATGTTTCAAGTATCCATGCCAAATTACATTTCCTTGTGTTCTTTTGCTGCCTTATCTCTGTTCTAAGTCATTCTGTCATAATTTAAAGGTCCTATATTACACAAAATTGACTCTTTAAGTAAGCTTTAAACCATGTTATAATGGCAAAGTGTTTTCAGTTTGAGATATGCAGGGTTTGTATGTTAAACATGAATGAAACAAATCCCCAGTTATGTTTGTGATGAGGAAATAACATTATAACATAGATCAGACAATAGCGTAATCTGAGCCTTTAATATGGGTGCGGATAACCTTTTTGCCCTCCCGGATTGCTACGATTATTAGAGATTTGGCAGGTTTCCTATCTGCCCCTCTCTTCTGCCCCGGGATATCCTGCGGAAAAGCCCGAGAAGGGATGCTGTCTGCCCCTTGCTCCCAAACTTCCTCGCCAGTCTCCCCTCAGTTGCCTTAATGGAATCCGCGACTGTTTCATGACTTCATATTATATTAGAAGAGTGAATTTGTCAGAGCGGCCAAAATGCCAGCAGTGTCTTCTCCTATTTCCAGCCACCTGCGTTTCCCATCACTTTGTATTTCACTTTCCTCCAAACCAAGCCTAGAATGGGTTTTTAATGGTAAATATAAGTCATTTAGACATTTTGGTGCGCTTTTAGCTTTCATTTTGGTTTGCATTTTCATAAATAAAAATATAACTACAAAAAAGAGGACACAAGTATTTGCCACTAGATTGGTCTTTACATTAGACCTGCCACAAAAATGACTATATTACCTTAACCCTATGCAAACTAAGTACCGGTGGAGGGTCTGTTAAATGCTTTTCTCTATGGAAACGTTTTTACTTTGTCTGGAATGCTTCACAGTACGGTAATAAATCTTTCTAGCATTAAGGAGACCA